GCTTCTCACTGTCAGCTCTCAGGTCGCTCCCTTCATTAGGAGAAAAGTTATTAAGTGCCCTGAATATGCGGGCTTGAAGGAAACCCCATCCAGGGAAGGCCGGGGACTGCTCCCGCATTACAGTGCGCGGGTGGCGTGTGACAACTGCTGTCACGTCTTAAGGCAGTAGAGAGGAAAGGTTGGGGCTTGCCACCTACCTGTAATTCCCACCCTGAAACGTGTGCCAAGCTTCAGTGCGTGTTCTCCTTGGACAGGGCAGGTGTCGGACACCCTTAACGAGCGTAACGAATGAATGCTGTGGCTGTGGTTACCCTCGCTTCGCAGCGGCTCTGCTGCCTGCTGGAGTGGGAGTAGCCCTGCTGGCAGGTACTGTCCCTTTGCCTGCTGGCGGGTGGCCTTCCTGCTGCCGTGGGTGCTGTGACAGCCTCTTAGGTGGCCTTGCAGGAAAGCTGCTGTGGGCACCCTGGTGATCTGACCTCCAACCCGGAGGGGGAGGTCTTGGGGAAGGTGCTGCTGGTGGGGTGCAGTGAGCCCTGATCTAGTGCCTGCCTCTTCTGAGATGCTGCACAACCTTCCTTTGAAAGGCAGCAGCACCTCTGATTGTGGCAAGTAATCGCCCCTTCAGTGGTCCCTCCTTTGTAAAGAAGTACTTGGGCACTTGCTGACCTCTGCCACCCTTTACTAACGCTAGCAGGCCAGGCTGGACTGCTCATGCCCAGTGGGCTGCATGTGCTTCCTTCAAATGCCTCTTTAGCCTTTTCCTGTCTGTGTGTTTTGTCAGATCAGATGTGCAAAGGCCTTGCTTGGCTTTCTGAAGCTTGCAGGGTCTTGGGCATGGGAATGTGGAATCCTGAACAAGTAGCTTGCTAACACAGATGACCTATGTGCATCAAGGGCAGAAAAAGACTTCACACGGGAGGGGGAGAAATGGCTACCTAATTGCACTGGCATGACGTTGGTCATTCTCAGCTATGTCCTAAATCCACTCAATTAAAGCAAAGGAACAGCCCTTTCCTATGAGGGTTGGAGCAGAGGAAGGATTGTGTTGCTGGGCTCTCATCTGGGAGGTGATGGCATTTCTGTGCGTATGCAGGCTGGAGACTTCAGCCTGTGCAGCTTCTCATGCAGGTCTCGCACCTAAATCGCAGCTGCCTCTTTCTGAAATATGTGCCTTTGTGATAGACCCTGGGTCAATTTATGGCCGCTCTGCCTTAGCCACTCGTTAGAGTAAATGAGTGCTTTCTGTACAGTGCATCTCTTTGCAGTGCTGAGACTGGCTGTGCTTCTGAAGATATCAGAGTTTGGAAAGTCCAGTGAACAAGACTAGTAAATATTCCTAAGGGATGATAGCAAAATGACTTGCTTCTCCCAGCAGAGATAGAGATATTAATATTTCAATACCTCTAGGTTGTAATTTACTACAATTTAAGAAGATTGCGCTCTGATAACTTAAAATACATGCTTCCCAGAGTAGTCAAGACGGTGTCCGTCTCCACACTGGGCTTTGCGTGCAGGTTCTGGCTGCCAGCAGTCTGGTCTGTGGCATCTGGTCCTGCGTGCCTGCTCTGCTACGTTTCCCCCAGTAGAAATCCTTCCCTTTTGACTACTCGAACCCCATCTTTGTTTCATGTGACTTAATGCCCTCGATATTTAGGTTAGGGTCAGCCCAGCTGACCAGATGCGAGCAGTAATTTCTGGTTTAAAAATATTGCAGTGCTATTTCTAAATTTTTAATCTCTCAGTGATTTGGAGACAGTTTTATGAAACATGGAATTAGGATGCTGCTCATTGCTAAATGGTAAAGGAGATTATGTGGATTTAACTCTATGCGTCTGTCACATAACTATTGCCAATCCCATAACTTCCATTTTCTATTAAAAATCTGTTTCCCCTTTTGACCTGAAAAAGCTTCACGGGTAATCTGAATTTCTGTTTATGAGGTATTTTTCCATTCTTCATCCCAGCCCCTCACCCTTCTCTTTCTAAACCTTCATGAGCAATGCCTGAAGATATTTGCCTGTCAGGTTGTGGCTGCTCTCCTACCATTACTATGGTAGGAGCCTTCTCCAAGCCATGGTCGTACCACGTAGGCCACTGGGCTGAATGAGGCGTGGGGGGAGCCCGCGGTGTACCGCGCGGGTGCCGGGAGCTGCACGATACTCCTGAGCCAAAGCTCGCACGTGGCAGATGTGACTACAGGGAAAGGTGGCTCCTGGGCGCCTTGCCTCTCCGACCGGCACGTCTCCAGCCATCTTGTGCTCTGCTTCGGCAGCAGACGTTACCACAAATAGGGCAGGGCTGCTTTCGCTTGCTTTGTTTTCCTTCATTTGATTGTAAATGTACGTTTTGCTCTTTTATGTCTGGGGAATGAGCATCGGGCTGTTCTGATAAAGGGGAATGCTGATTCATGACGACAAACCAGCCGGGAGATGTCACGAAACGACATCCGCAGGGCCATGCGGTGGCCCCGTAGCTCTTCGAAGCCGGGTGCGGCTGCTCAGGAAGCAGGGTGGATGTAGGGCAGTTGAGGGCGTTTGACACCTATTTCATAATAATTCTGGCATTGGTCAGGGAGGGAGGAAAAAAATAGATGACTGTCTACTTCTACCTGAGCATGGGCACAGAAAACTGAATGCGCTGCAGTATGGGGAGAGATGAAGATGCTTTCTTAACCTATGAATGTGTTTCATGTGTAGGGTCGCTCTGCTGGAGCTTCCTAGGCAGCAAATCCATTGCCTCTGCTAGCTTGCTGTGTAGCTCTGGCTGATGGGATGTTGATGTAGGGCTCTGGGTAGCCAGAGGAGGCAACGTCTGTCATCGTAGATGCTATTTTGACATAGAATATGTGGAGGACAAGAAACAGGCTATCTTGCTTCTGATGTAATGGGTGGTGAAAGAAGCATGAGGTTGCATTCCCAGCTGGGAGAAGATCAGAGGGGAGAAAATTGTCAGTGGTTGAAGCAGGGGGCTTGGGAATTGTTCTCCGCTCTGGGAGGGGCTCTGTGCTGGTGTGGAGGGCAGCTGCTCGGGCAGGAGGGTGGGTTTGCTGATGCTGAGGACTTCACTTCCTGGTGTCTTGCTCCAGGGGAGTTTGTGTGCTGGGCCTCAGCCTTGCTCTCTAAAATGGATGTGCTTGGGCTGCCCTTTGGGAAGGGGTGAGGTGGTTTGGACTTCCTTCTCCTGGCATGGTTGAGGAAGGCATGAAGCAAGCTGGCAGCCCAATGCTGAGCCGGGGAAGGAAGACACTTCCCAACACCCTTCTGAGGAAGATGCGAGTGTGTTCTGGGGGAGGAAGGCGCTGGAGGACAGCTTTGCAGTGGGATGCGAGTTGCTGTGGCCAATAACACTTAAATAGCCTTTCCTCAAATGAGCAACCATGATGCACTCTCCCTGAAGGGGCGGCTTGGAGCTAAGATAAGAATATTCATACAGATGAGACTATTTTTTTTTCTCCCCCCACTCCTGTCCCCTCCTCCCCAAGCTAAAGAAATTGAGGTCAGGGAGGGTCCCCTGTGACTTGTTTTAAACCAACAGTGCGGTAGTTATTTGCTTATTGGCTCTGCGGCACCACAAGTGGTGTTCTCAGCCAGAGCTATTAATACACCCCCGCCAAGGGCCGCTTTCTGTATCAGTGTCCTTCCGCCCACTTGGAAAAGAGTGCAACTAAAAAAAGAAAACCGGATCTAAGTGGCTGGGGGCCTCATCCTTATTTATAGCAAATTTTGCTTGCTTTGGTTGAGAAGGGAGCTGGTCCTGGAGTGGGAAGGAGAGACTGGAGGAGTTGGGTGAAAAGCTCTTTTCCCATTTATTGAAGGGAAGTGCTTTTTTATAGCTGTTGCAGTTGCCCCAGAAGGCTTCTCCTGGGCGTCCAGGTGGTTGGGATCCTCTGCCTTGGACTGTGGCCTGGAGACCTCTGCCTCCGCTTGGATGGTGCAGCGTGGCCTGGAGTGAGGCAGCAGCCTGTAGTTAGGGCAGGGTGATGCTGGGTTTCTCGCTGTGGTCGATGTCCTGCTATGGTTGGGGCAGCGCCTTGGGAGCTGCGAAGGCTTATGTGCGAGGTGACGAGAAGGGAATTTCTCCCTATGTGCCCTCCCTTTCCTCTGGCTCTGGAAAGAGAGCAACACCGAACGTGGCTTTCCTGTCCCCCTCCCGTGGGCTGTGGCTGCAGTGTTGGAGTGGTGGGATGGCGGGCAGAGAGGCCCTCCCTGCTTGGAGGAGGCTCGGTCCGAATAGTGCCAGCATGGCCCCTGGACAGTCGGCGCTGCAGCCTGGCTGCAGCCAAGCTGGAGAGCTGATGGGGTATCGGGGTGCTGGCCATCTGCTGCTCTGGGCTGCAGGATGTTCGGGTTTGTAGTAGAAAAAGGATTTGTTGCGTTTGAGTGCCGGGTGCAGGCAGCTGCTGTGCAGAGCTGCACAGAGGAAGCCATTTCTAGCATGCGTGTGTCCTTGGGCCTGTGGTGCTGCGGCACAGAAGCCTGTGCTACGTGTGTGTGTACACCCCCAGGGCCCTGGGAGGATGGTGTTTCCCCTTCAGTCACCATGCTAGTGATTTGGGGCTAATCATCTGGCAGAGGAGCATGCTTGTGGGAAGGCGTCTTCACACTGCCCCTTCCCTCTTTTGGGCTCCTGACCCTGGGGAAGGCTTTGGGGAGACCTGGGCATGAGGCATCCTACCGTGGGCACCTTTTCTTGCTTGCACAGCCCCTATTTATCCTGGTTAGCTGCTTGTGATCCCTGATCCGTACTGCTGGCAAGAGCACTGGCCTGTGAAGGTGGCCTTTATGCTTCCAGTCTGTGCACTGATGCTTTCTCGGCTACTTGGCTCGGCTCTGCCAAGTGCGTGGGCCAGGGGCTGAGCTCCTGGGGCAGCCCTGCTGGGAGCGGTAGTGATGCCTGCAGTAACTCCCTGCCGTTGTGGCCTCTGCTTTCTCCACAGCACATGCTGAAGATGTTGGAACCAGCCTCTACTTTGTGAACGACTCTATCCAGCAGGTTACCTTCTCCAGCACAGTGGGGGTGGTGATCCCCTGCCCGGCAGCAGGGTCACCCAGTGCTGTCCTTCGGTGGTACCTTGCCACAGGCGACGACATCTACGATGTGCCCCACATCCGGCATGTCCATGCCAATGGGACTTTGCAGCTCTACCCCTTCTCGCCGTCAGCCTTCAATAGCTTTATCCACGACAACGACTACTTCTGCACTGCAGAGAACTCGGCAGGCAAAATCAGGAGCCCAAATATCCGGGTTAAAGCAGGTAGGAGCCTTCTGTGGGGGTGCTGGGGCTTGGAAGGGCGTGCTGGCAGCTCTCTAGTCTTCTCCATAGTCTGTTGGCTAGCCTGTTCAGCAGACCCTGTTTGGCTTTGTGTCTACCTGGCATATCTGCCGTGGGACGGTGATCCTGTTGATTGACAGCACTTTGGCATTGGGACAGCAGTGCTCTTGTCTGACAGAAGGAGCTGGGGTGTTTTGAATTGAGACTAGGACCCAGGAGTCCTGCTGCCAACGGTGTGGCCTTGGACAAGGTGTTTTCAGCACTTTTCTGCACTTCACCTGTGAAGAGCAGCAGGAACGAGTACCTGCTCACTCGCAAGGGGGCTGCTCTGTGAAGCCTCTCTGCTCCTGAGTCTGGTGGGCTCTGCTGAAAGGTGCTGCTGGGTTAAGTGCTCCTGTTCCTGAGCTTGGAAGGAGAACTGGTGAAGCACAGAACTGGGACTGTGGTGGCCTACTGCACAGGGATCGATTGCTGCATGGACAGATAGCAAACATAAGGGCAGGGTGTTGGATAAACAGGAGACGGCCTGCCAATACATGTTTACAAAACTGCATCCTACCCAAGCTGAGAGCAAGCTCTGTAATTTGGGCCCTGTACTGGCAGGGAGAGCACTATGGAGTGACAACCAGCAGGGAAGAGACACGCAGCTTTGGTGCCTCCAGCTAGTGCCTGGTGGCAACGGTGCGGCTGCGGCCTTGGGGCAGGAGAGGTCGTCCCCCTTCCAAACCATACTGTCGCACCCAGCTGTGCTTGGGGTCTCTTCATAGCCACGTGAGGACCTGGATTGCATCTGTACTTAGTGGAGAGACCCCCTGTACTGGTGTCCCATAGCCCTTCCAAAACCTATCTGTCCCCATTGCAGCATCTAGCCCAAACATACTGACGCTTATTAAGGGAAAAAAAAGGAGGAAAATGGCAAAGAGCTGATTTCAAAAGCCATTATAGTAAATTATTGACCAGGCTGAGTAGGGCTAATAGCCAAGGAATGGCTTCATTATGTAACCTATTAAAAGCAGGGCTAGCAGAGGGAACATGACAGGAGTGACTACAGGGTTTTTTATTTTAATACCTTGTACTGCAGAGTAAATGGGTATTAACCCCCTCTCCAGAGTGAATTATTTACCAGCATTATCAGGTTAGCTATAAACCGCAGCCCAGCGGGGAGGACAGACAGCAGCAGATAGGGATGTAATAAATGCGGACGTGCAACAGGTAGCTTGTGTGGTTTAGGTATGGCAGGACCTCGGCTAGCTCTCGTGCGGGCCTCTGTCGGGAGGCTGTGGCCCTCCTGGTGCAGAGGGAAGCCAGTGTTGGGGAAGGTCCCTTGATTTGCTCCTTAGCCTCTGGTGGGCCAGGGTGAGTAGCAGCACCTGGGACAGCAGGCTCAGTTTTCCAGGGCTCGTGCAGCAAGGTTGGCTACTGTTGGTGTTTGGGAAGTTTGTGCCCTGGCCGTGCTCCAGGGAAGAACTTGCCTCCAGTCTTTACCGTCCTGCCAGGCAGTCAGCCTCAGCTGTGGCCTTCTCACGGAGAAATGTAGGTCGTATGGACTCCTTGGAGATCACGTAGCAGGTCAGTGGCGGAGCGGAGTCCTCTGGTCCCCCTCTCCAAATACTGGGTTTAATGCAGCATTGCTGTGAGTGGGATTTGAGCGGATGTGCCTGGCTGGGAGTCCAACCTTCTCTGTCTCCTTAGCATGAGACCCGAGGCTGTAGTGGAGAGCCTTATGCAGGGCCCTCAGAGGATCACCGGGAGGGCTCAGTCTGTGGCAGCTTGAACTGCTTTGGCTTTATGGCATTTGGAAATGGCTGTGAAACCTTCCTCTGCTTCTGCTTCCATCCTGTTGTCTTGTGTCCCGGTTGCTCTCTGCTGCTTTGTAATGGCAATACACCAAGTGAAGACAATTTCGGCTGTACAAAGGAAGCAAATAAAGCCCAGTTAAAAACAAAGAAGAAGAATTGGGAAAATCGCAAAGCTTTGGAAAAACCTGATAGCACATGGAATATCAGGCTCTTTTGTCTAGCCAATGGAAAGTTTTGAGTGTGCTAGTTGTGATTTTTAAATTACCTTTTTGGGCACAGACAGCTCTAAACTTGCAGGAAGAAGCAAAGGAAGCCTCAGTGCGTGGAGGCTGGCTCATTTCAGAGTAGTGGTAGCTCTTGTGTTTCGGTTGAAGGATGCCCTGGGAAGCCATAGGCGAGCAGAGGGTGGGTGCCTGCATGCCGAGTCTGCTGTCGGCTGGGGGGTGGATGCAGAGCCTTGACTGTGCAGGAAGCCAGACTGGATGGTCATCACGGTCCCTGCTGGCCTTTAAAGCCTGTGAATAAACCTCCTGCTCCATGTGATTTAGGAGGCTTTTGCTGGCTAATCTGCTTGGGCTCTGCAGTCCCTTTCTGTTGTAGGCTGCTCCTGTATCCTTGCTCTGCCAGCCCTCCTCCTCCCAGCACCTCTGCAGCAGGGATGCCTGCTCCAGTCTGGGGCTGGGCAGGCACTATGCCCTCTGGCTGCAAAGCTCAGTGCCCAGCTGGTGTGTTGAATAAATAATCAGCGAGTTGAAGGCCTCTCTGAACCCTCTTTCACTGCCTTTGGCACCCTGGGTGAGAGGCGGGGGCCTCCTGCAGCAGCTGGGGTTCAGCGCTGCTGGGTGAGAGGGTGATTGAGCTGCTGACGGGCAGCTTACGCAGGAGTAGCTAAGGTGGGGCAGCTCCTACAGCAGCTTGTCATTTATTGCTTTATGGGTGTTTAATGTCTCCTTTGCCGGCCTGCTGGTGTGCAGAGCCTGCTGGAAAGTTTCACTGGGCTTCCCAGAGATGGAGCCTGGGATGTGCTTGCCTATAAATTGCCATCCTGACCTCTTGCAGCAAAGCAGTGTGCCCTGAAAGCCAGGGGAATGGAGGTGGGAACACGATCGCCCTCCTGCTGCTTGCTTGTGTATTTGACATACGAGATGCATTGTCAATAAGTGCTTTCCATGCTGCGAGAGCAGTGTCTTCCTTTTGGGGCTGTGAAACTTTTGGACTTTTATCTTGAGATTTGAGCTGCTTTTGTTCTGGCCAAGGGGTGTCGTTAAATGACCAAGCAAACGCTTCTGTCGAATGGTAGCAGCACACAGGTGCCAGTGTCTTCCAGGACAGAATCCTTATCACAGTAAGGAGGTGCATTTTGGTACTCAAACTTTAGGTGTATATGGTATTTGCTTCTGGAGTGCTGACATCGTTTTGCTCCTGAAGAGGCTTGGCAGATCCAGCTTGTCTAGTGAGTGCTGGTGAGGGGTTTTGCACAAGTCATTGAGGCACTGGGGAGTGCCTTGACACTGTGCAGTCTTCAGTGGGGTGCTTGTGTCCCTGTGGGCAGGGCATGCGGTGGAGACAGCTCACTGCTCGGGGCCCTCACCACTGCATAACTTGCAGAGTTGCCTTCTGCTTCCCTAAGTGTGCCTCCCCTGGGCTTTAGGAGGGTGTCAGGTTGTGTCACGGGTTTTCTCTAGCAGGTGTCTCACTACTGCATATTCAGCCTGCATCGGCCAGTGAAATGAGTACCTTCAAGGTAAGAGGGTGGAACACTATAGCTACTGAGTGCCCTTGGTTGCTGTACTGAAATCTGGGTGCTGGAAAACTCTGCCTTAGCAGCTTTAGTAAAATACAAATCCCTCAGCTTGGCAACTCTGCCCTTTGTGACAAGTTCTGGTCAAGCTGGGGGCTCCTGCAAAACATCCCAGCAGCAGGAGCTGGGCCAGGCGTCGCCTCGGCCCTCTAAGCCCCAGCGCGCGGGTATCGAAGGAGAACCAGCGCCTTGCCCGGGGAGGGGTGCAGGACTGAGCGCGGATGGTGCGGGGTCTGTGGAGCTACCCGCAGACCAGCTGCCCGCGGAGGGAGGAGGCAGAGTCTGCTGCGGTGTGGATCGGGTACCCTGGGACAGGGACTAGACTGAGCATCGGCAACTGCAGGGTTGAGGAGGTAAATGTCTAACTTTTCTCTGTCCCTGCTTCCTGGCTAATGCTGGGGTGAGCCAGGTGCTTTGGATGGAAGCAATTTGTTGCTGGGTGGGTTGGTTTGCTTGGGAAATGTGGTATTCAAGCAGAAGGAAGCTTTGTCGTCTTCTGGCACTGTCATGCTACCAACCATCTGCTTTTCTCTCTAGTTTTCAGGGAACCGTACACCGTTCGTGTGGAGGACCAAAGGTCGATGCGTGGAAACGTGGCTGTTTTCAAGTGCCTCATCCCCTCATCAGTGCAGGAATATGTTAGTGTTGTGTCCTGGGAGAAAGACACCGTTTCTATCATCCCAGGTAAGAGAGGAGCCACTGCTCTCTTGGCAACTCTGACCTGCTTTGCCGGCTGTGAAACCCACTGTTGCGGAGGTCGCTTTTGGTTTATCATCTGTGCCTGGGCTGCCACAGCAAAGGCTTTTATTGATGACTGCCTTGTGGCTTCATCCTGGGAAACCCACGTGGTGTGAGCAGATGCACTGTGTTTGGGGTCTCCTTGGAGCTAAGGCCAGTACTGTGTGTGTTACAGGGCTCACAGCTGTGTTGGTAAGCATGACAACAAGCACTTTGCTTCCTGGTTTCTCCTGCATGCCTGTGACTAGCTCCCTTCGATGGGTAGGGGACAGCTGGGGTTTGGACAGTAGGAAGGCAGTCTGTCCCTGCTCTCAGCCCCCTTTTTCTGCACTCGGAGCTGATTTTCACTGTTAGGGTGAGGCAAAAGGAAATATTCTGGGCTCCCTTGAGCTTTTACAACTGCTCCAGCCATGTTTGAAGCAACTTGGTAGAAATGGCATCCTGAGCTGCTTCCTTGTGTAGGCCCCCGGAAGCCATTTGGCCTCCTACCTTTTCCCAGTGCCAGCATGATCTGCTTGCATTAGTCTGACTCTTCAGCCAGTGCGTGTCCCATTCAGCACTGATGCTGGTGTACTTTGATTTGTGTGCAAGAAACCTGAGGGAAGGATGGTAGTTGGGGGTTTCTTTGCAGAGACTTCGCAGCTCTGGGTGTTTTGCCACTGTGTAGAACTGGGCAAAATCGCTGGCAGCTGAGGGCAACGCTCGGTTCTGCAGGGTGCTGGCATGCTCCGTGCTCCTGCTGTCCAGGAAGAGGCAGCTAGCTCCCCGGGCCCAGCTGGGCAGCAGAGCCAAGGCCTTCTGAAAAAGCCCCAGAGCCTTTCAGTGCAAGGCTTGACTGCCTGGAGCCGGGATAAGGAGGGTCACCGAGAGCTTCGGGCCGTGCTAGCCCACTGCAGAGCGCTGGGCTGGTGCCTGCAGAGTGCTGGCAGGGTGTTCCCCATCCCTTTGTGGCAGGGACAGAGCTTCCCAAGTCCCCGTGGGGCCAGGCAGCCCTTGATCCAGGCCTTTCCCCTCTCCCGCACGACATGAGCGGCACGGGAGGTGGTGGGCTCAACATGTTGCTGCATCCAGGCAGCTGCGCTGTCCTGCGACTCGCTGCCTCGCGACCCTTCCCTGGGGAGCAAGGCTGGGCCCCTGTGTGCCGGGAGCCCTGCAGCAGAGCTCTTTGGAGCAGGGCTGCAGCGGCTCAAAGTGGGAGGTGCCCTCGCTGGCAGCCTGCGGGGGGCACAGAGGATGCTGCAGGGTGCTGGGGTGGGATGCTGATGCTGTTTTGCTGGGCAAACCGGAGCCCCGGAGCAGTGTGGGGGAGTGCGATGGGCAGAGCAGGCTGGGAGAGGTTTGCCAGCATCGGTGCCCGTGTGCCGGGGTGACCTTTCGCCTCCCTCCTCAGCAACTGTATTGATGGCAGCGCTGACCGCCCTGTGCAGCGTGTGTAAGCTAGTAGTAAAGCAATCAATACTGCTTTCCTGGGGGGATCCAGAAAGAATTAAAGGATTTTGCCCATAGTGAACGCTCCGTGGGGGATGTTTGCTCACAGGCCAGTAAGTCCTGGTGCTCCTCTGGGGCTCAGTGTTGCAGTGCTTGTGTTGTGGGGATGCCCCTCGGGAGCAGGGGCTCCCCGGGGAGGTGTGGGGCGAGTGGCCCAGCTGCGGCTGGGAGACTGGGGCAGGGGCGGATCAGGCATGAGAGGCGATTTCCTTTAATCAGTCTTGAAGGGATGTTTCTTTCTAAGGAGCTTATTGTGCAAAGTGCTTCACCTGGAGGGGGCTGAAGGGTTGCTCTTGGGGGCTGTGGTGGAGGCAGCACCTGTGTGCAGCTAACGGATGATGGTCTCAGGTTGCTCTGGTGGTAGGCAACCAGCCCTGGTCTGCAGCAGCCCCTTGCCCTGAAAGGGACCTTTCTGTTCTGCAAATGCCCTTCTTGCATTCTCTGAGAAGTTTTCTGGCGTTTTGGGATGGTTGGAAATATTGCAGTCGTGTCCTTTCCATTTCAGTAGGTGAGAATCTCTGGGTCTCCTTTGGAAAAGCCTGTTTCAAAGCTTTTGTGCTGAGATATGCACTGAAGCCAGCTGGTGTTTGGAAAAAGCAAGGCTCATTCTCGTAGGGTGCAGAGTTGCACCACAGCCTTGTCAGCCCTTCTCTGCTCAAAGAAAGCATGCTTCTGCGAAGCAGCTGCATCTACGTGAATGAATAACTGCAAGGCAGATTTGAGTCCTGTCTGCAGGACAGAAATCCATGAGTTGGTCTGCAGTACCCCTTCTCTGCTGTGGTGCAGGGTGATGGTGTGCCTCACAGGTGTCATCCAGCAACCGGGCTGTGGAGAAGGCCTTCAGCATCAAAACTCGCTGTGCTGGTCCCTTGGCAGCTAGTGCTGTGTTAACTGGCAGTGCTTTCTCTAAACTCAGTGGCTTCTGCAAAATGCTGTGTCGGCCACTTCCAAGAGTGCTCAAAAACCCCACGCACTTTAGAGATTGCTCCGAAGTGAACTTGTCCTGTGCAGGTGTGCCATATGGACCACAACTGATGTGCTTAGTGTTTGTATTACTTTGAGTGATTTCTTAAGCTGCTTTTTGCAAACGATGAAGTGAGTAGTGCTTTGCCAGGGCCCTTCAGCTCTTGCTTCCCTCAGCACCTCTTGCTGGGACGGACTGTGGCAGTTCCTGTTGCAAGAACACGCCAGCGCTTTCGGAGCTCGTCTGCTCTGGCGTCTTGGCTCCTTAGTGTTAATATATTTGCCGGCCGTGCTGCAGTGTGGTTCCTTTTCTGCAAAGAGGAGGAAACAAATGACTTCCAGGGCTCAGCTGGGCCCTGGGGAGGTGCCAGAGTCTGCGATGGGCTGCCCGTGGGTGGAGCGAGGTTCCTGGTGGTGGGGACCCCTCTGTGCAGACAGATCCTCTGGGAAAGCTCAATGACGTGTTCTGCTCTGGGGACAAGTCTGTGTCCTAATGCTGCTCTTGCCTCAGTTTCCTTCTTGCCTCAGAGGCCTTTTGTGCCGGCAACGTGCTTTGTCCTGCTCCTTGGATGAAGGGAGCAGTACGGCGTTTGCAGTGGTGTCCAGGCTTCGGTCGAAGCGCACAGTCGTTTCCTCAGCACCAAGTTTGTGAACTGAGCATCCATGCACTTGCGTGATCTTAACCCGGACTTGTTCTCAAGTTTGCTGTTGCAGTAGATTTTTTTTAATATGATGATTTAATTAGAGTGGAACGATTTTAACATTCTAAAGCAATAATTACCCTAAAGACAGAACATATAAATTGTGTTACAGTGCAGAGTCAACACAAGCAAACATGTTTTGCTGTTGGATTACAAATATAGTATCTGCCTGAAGCTTATTTTTTTTACTTGCTCTTGTGTTAGAGCTAAAAGTGGCTTTGCTGTTACCAAAAACACTGTCTCTTCTTGACCTCTGGTGAACTTCTGGTTCCGTCCTAGTACTTGGCAAGGCAGACAAGGAGTGAAGGAGGGGTTCCCTGCTGTTTTGAGTGAAGGACGTGAGTTTTGAAAAAAGCTGAGATGTGGTTCTGAGGCCTAATAGCTCTCTTTCTGTCTAAAAATGCTCTGTGGATTACAAGATCAAGTGGTTGTACCGATACAGCTCTACCTAGCTCTGCTCCTGTCCACCCACAAAAAGAAAAGGTCTATGGGAGCACTGCAGCTTTTTCAGAAGTAAATCCAAGCCATGTTTGAAGCTAGCTCTAAAACCTAGCATTTTGTCCTCACATTAGTGTACCCAGCTCACTTTTTTCCCCAAATTTTTCTCTAGCACTTTGTAACTGGATTGTGCATCTCTCTAGTAAGTCTAGGTGCATCAGGGATAAATTCCCAATTCTCAGGCTGGTCAAAAACCTTCCTCCAGACCTCTCTATGGTGGAAAACTAAGTGAGTGTTTTCATGGGAAGTTTTTGCTTTCCTTAAAGCTTTTCTCCTTTTCTCCCCACTGGAATGTAAAATATTTTGTAGCTTGGCAATGGAGGAGAAAAGTCTCCTCTGCAAGGAGGAGCGAATGTTTCTGTAGGGGCTGCTGTGTCCTTGCAAGCTCCGGCCTCTGTCTCAGTTAAGTGGGTTGGGTGGCCATTTTACGAGATTTCTTGGGCTCTTTTCATGCTTAATTGGGATTACAGAGCTACCAGCTGCTCCCTCCCCACAGCCCAACCTCTGCTGCTTTGCTTCTGACTCTTGTCTCTTCAGATCCTTGTCGCCCTTTTGGTTGCAGTTTGCTGCTGGCTGATGGACTGTTTGGTTTAGGGTCTGGTTTGGGCTGGTGCCAAAGGGGCTTGCTGAAATGGCCTCAGGATGAGCAGCCCTGCCTGGCCGAGTACAGAAACGTGGCTTTGAAGGCAAGCGCTGTGCAGTGTCTCCTCTAGTTCAAGGTTTGCCTCGCCTCCTCGTTCAGCATCGTTTCAGTCCGAGCCTGCGGACAGAGCCTGGCGCGTGTGCACGTTGCTCAGATAGCTGCTTCTCTTATTGCGGCTCTTGACAGCCAGAAGAGCTCTGCTTTCAGTGGGTGTCTCTGCCTGACTTCTTTCCATTTCGTTCCTGACAAGCATGTCTTTTTCAGGAGCACCTACTGGGTCTGTTTTAGAAGAGATCTTAAAACAATTGCGGAAAGGTGCTTTGTGTCTGTATTGCACTGCTGCAGGAGGGGGATTTTGGTAGTGTGTTGCATTATTAGGTTAACTTGGCAACACTGTAACTTACCCCCAAATCAAAGATAAATTTGTTATAGGAGGTTATCCTGCACATAAATCATCATTAGTGTAGCTCATTTTTGTTTAATGCCTACCTTACTGTGCTGTAGTCCAAAAATGTGTGTTTAGTGAAGTCAAGGGTTGCAGAGAAATTATAGGGTTTTCAAAAACCCATTTACTTGGGTGTTCACATCAAAATCAATCTTGCCTTTAGTTCTCAGCCTTGTAGCAAACATGCAGCATCTGCCTTTTAATGCAGGCTAGTACTTGTTCAGAAAAAAACAGCAGTGCTTACAAAATTGTGGACTGCGTGTAAGATTGCACTTCGCACCAAGGCTGTGATTTTCAACTCTGTTGTTGATTGTTGATGAATCTTAATATTTAGGGGAGGGGAGGAGGACTGCAGCTGAGCAGAGCATCTTACCGGTCCCCCTCCTTCTGTAGGGGAAGAGGGAGATGCTCCTGCCATAAACTAGTTTAAGAACTCAACTTGGTAAACAGCTTT